GGCCGTACTCTGACGCTAGCCCAGCACAGCTCCCCGGGTTGGGCTCTTGCCCGCCAGCCCCTGGCTGTGTCAATGTGCACATTGGAGCTGCGTGGGGGAGACCCGCTGATGGGTTCGGTCCCCAGCGTGGGATTGAGCCTCCCCCTGCAGCAAGGCACTGGGACGGCCTGGTTCAGATCTGGCAGCTGCAGGACTGGGGCCTGGGGTCTCCATCCCAGATGCTGCTGCTGTGTCTGTCCGACTGAAATGTCCCACAAATCTTACTTACTGAGTAAATGGTTTATCGCGTCCCCCCCACCAATCCCACAGCTCACTGGCTGCTGTGTTCTCGCTGCTTGTTGCAGGTGCCTGCGGGGGGTGCTGTGGATGTCATTCTGGGGGGTTCAGGTGTCTGTCTGTCTGTCCAGGATCTTCCTAGCAGCTCACTTCCCACACCAAGTCATCACGGGCGTCGTTTCAGGTGAGGTGGTGCTGCCCGGGCAGTTCCCTGGATTGCTCCCCGCACCGCGGGGGGAAAGGGTGGGTGGGCTGGATGCAGCGTGGCTCTGGGAAGTTTCCATGTTATTCCCCTGTAAGAGACCAAGCGCTTCTGTTGTCAGCGGTGGGAAACCAGGGTGCTGCCCAGCAGGCTTGCAGTCCGGCTCAGCAGGTGTGGGGTTAAAGCCCGAGCGACTGGCTGTGGCTCCTTGCCATGGAAGGGGCACAGCGCTCTCTGGGCCAGGCTGGACGCGAGAGGGGCAGGGAGCGATGGAGACAGGAGCTGGGTGGGGAGAGCCTGATTGGAACTGGGCAAGCGCAACGGAGGGACAAGGGGGCTGATGCACCGGGAAGGGAGAAAGGGACCCTCTGAACCCCTCCTTCTCCCTTGCCCAGTGCTGGGGCTGGGGGGAGAGGGTGTTGGCTCCTAATTATCCGGCGTCCGATAAACAGCGGAAAATGGGCCTGGCCCCAAGCCTGTGCCAGGCTTTTTGCTGGAATTTGGCCGAGCAGCTAATGACCCCAAAGCCTAACAGAGACGGGGCAGCCGGGATTCCTTGGTCCATCTCCGTCCGCTTCGTGCCGATGTTATTATCGATGTGCACTGCGGGGACACCCCCCAGCTGCCCTGCACAAACCAGAGACCCGGTGCCTGTCCCACAGAGCTCACAGCCTCTGGGCCCGGCTGGGAGTCCTGTGGAGGTTGAGGGGCTCGGAGTCCGGCCCTGCAGAAACAGGCCGAAGGGAAGGAAAAGGGCAGGATGGTTATGGCTCGGGGCATTGTCATGGTAACAGGAGCCCCGTTTCTTATGGCCTGGCTGCTGCTCCCCCCCTCGACGCCGGACCTGTTGTCTAACTTCGCCCCTGTCCGCCCAGAGGCTCCGCAGCCAGGCCGGGAAGAAGGCCCCGTTCTGGTGGAAATGAGAACCATGGCGTTGCTGAATTGTTCCTGCAGCGATTGTCTCTTAGGTGGCCTCGGAAGGCCTTTAACCGTCTCTTCTCCCCACACTTTGCAAACAGGCCGGAGCCTTGCTGTCAGCGGGTAACGGCAGCCCGGGCAGCCCGGGCATCGTGTCTGTTGTGTGAAGGAGGGGGTTGGGCTTGGTACCTTGACTCCTTCCTGCATCGCTGACACGGGCGGGTGCCAGAGTGCCGGCTTCATGTCTCTCTCCCTTCTCAGGCATGGCAGTGGCTGAAGCTTTCCGGCACATCCCCGCCATCTACAGCGCCAGTCTCCGGAGGTACCTGGGCACCACCCTCTTCCTGTTCAGCTTCGCCCTGGGGTTCTACGTGCTGCTGAAGGCTCTCGGTGTTGACCTGCTGTGGACCCTGGAGAAAGCCAAGAGGTGGTGTGACCGGCCGGAGTGGGTCCACATTGACACCACCCCCTTCGCCGGCCTCCTCAGGAACCTGGGGATCCTGTTTGGGCTGGGGCTGGCCCTCAACTCCCAGATGTACCTGGAGAGCTGCAAAGGGAAAATGGGCCAGCAGCTGCCCTTCCGCCTGAGCTGCATCGTGGCCTCGCTCGTCCTCCTGCACCTCTTCGACTCCTTCAAGCCTCCCGCCAAGGTGGAGCTGCTGTTTTACGTCCTGTCCTTCTGCAAGAGCGCGGCCGTGCCCATGGCTGCCGCCGGCCTCATCCCCTTCTGCGTCGCCCAGCTCATCAGGAGGCAGAAGGAAAAGCTTTTATAAGAGAGAGCAGAGCTGTGTGGGACTGCCTGCCTCTAGTTCCTAGCCCTGACATCCAGGCCTGGGACTGCTCGGTGGTGCTGTATCACAGAGCCAATAAATTGAGTGTGGCATAGGCTGGCTCTTCCGTGCCAGCTGCACAAACTACATGGTCTTGAAAGATGTAGAGAATTGTCTGAGAGGTGGAGGACGGATGAGGCCAGAGTCCTTTGAACCTGCACTCAGTCTGGCTCGGAGGGGGTTTTTGGAGGTGAGGGTTTGCTTTACACTGGGTGTCTGAGAAAAGAAGCATGGTTTGGTTTTTACCCTTGGCAGTAGGATGTGGTCCTGACCCCGGCATGGTCCTTGCACCCCCACGCACACAGCAGTGCCCATGTCCCTCTGCTGTATGCTAAGCAGAAAGAGAAGAGAATTGTAGGAAATGTACAACCTGGGGCTCTCGCTGAGGTGCTGAGACACGTGACACAGACCTGTGCAAAGCCTTAACTCGGTGTGCAGTGAGTGAAGGGCGATTGGCTTTTGCAGTCATCATGGTGTCCCAGTTTTGTGTCTTTGTTCTCAAGGCTTTTACACCAGCATAAACCTGGAGTAACACCATGATGAATCTGACCCTTACAACCTCTGCAAATAATGTGTGTGTCACCTTTCTGAAACTAGTGCCCCCTCTGTGTATCCCAGCATGCACTGGGCTTGTGCTGTCACCCTGGAGTGAGACATTTACATTTGGATTTTGCAGGAGATACAAGCTGTAGCGTTTGCTTCCGAGGAGCTCTCAGCTGGTGTTGGCAGCTGTTTCATGCAGCCCTTGCTACCAGGTTTCATGAGTGTCTCCCTGCCCTCACCAGCAGGCACATGAGATCCCAGACCTGCTGGGAAATAACCAATCCTGAGGGTCATATCTCAGAACTCCTGCCCAGTTGGGCACAGGTCTGCCCTGATCACTTATGGGCATGAAAGTTCCTGCTAGAGCCAATTTATGGTTTCTTTTCAAGCTGTTACTGGCTTGAGATTTCTTTGCCTGAGTTACTCAGACCTAAGTGTTTGAAAAGAGACAATAAGTGGTAAGATCTGGGGCTCAACTGGAACAGTGAGATGTGAACAGGGTTTATTTTCTCTGTTATCTCCTGTTACTTCTCCAGCAAAGTGTCACAAGAGGATTTGATGGCATGCACAGCCCTGACCTCCACTCTGATCCCACTGTGTCATTAACTGCCCCTCACTGCTACTAATTGAGCTGGTTTCCTGTTTGCGGGTAACTGCTGCAGGGACCAGTGTGGGAATCCTGAGTGTGCCATGGGCCGCTGCTGTCTTGCTTGTTTACGCTGGCTCCTTCTTTCCCCACGGATGGGTTGGGGTTTCTCTTCCCGGGTAGTTAGTTTCTGTATTTCCCCCACTGTTTTGGCGATTAAATATATCTCACAAATCACATTGTTTGGGAGGTTCCTTTTCCCTTGGCTTTTTACCATCAAACATGTACTCTTTTGCCTCAGGCCTTTACACTGGTCCGTCTACAAGTCACCTCCTGAAGCCTAATGTTTCTGCCGCTGGGATCACAAGCATCTGGCCTGCCTCAGCCTAGCAGAAAAAGTGCAGCTGGAGAAAATATCTCTGTGTTCTTGGTGCATGTCATGTTCCCTCATCTCAGTGGAGCACACATCTCTACAGCCGGGAATATTCTGGGTGCTCAACAAAGAGCAGTATCAGCTGCCTCCCAACTAGGGAAAAGCAAAGAAGGGAGAAAGGGATGGAGTTACACTTGGCTCATTCACTTCTCTCTCAGTGGACACTGGGCTGCACACGTTCTGTGCACACATGTCCTTTTCTGGGAATCCTAGCACTACATGACACACTTCACAGAGCAACCCAGAACTGTCAGCCAGCTGGTGATCTCAGTTACACTCCGGGCAAATCCAGAGCAAACACGTAGCTTCAGTGGAGTCATACTAGATTTACAGTGGTAGAAGTGAGATCAGAAGTTGGCCCAGTATGCATTTCTGCCTCATGTAGACACGTTCTGTGGGAGGCACATTTTCTGTGCAAACTGGGACTGTAAGAGACCAGGGTTTGGTCTCACCTTTGCAGCAACAATAAACTGGACTTGAACTCAGCCGCCTCCCTCAGCCCAGAGGTGTTCGTGCTACCAGCTGACGCATCTTGACCTGGAGAAGGTCTAAGAGGTAAAGCAGGGCGTAGCTGCATTTCTATCTCTGGGCAATCTGCATTTGACCTGTCAAACAAATGAATAAATACAAGTAAAACAACCTGCTTTACCCAAAGCCCAACCTGCAGCTTTCGGGGATCAGTGTAACTCCATTGCAGTTGATGGAGGTAGGCCCAGTTATTCCAGTTGAGGGTTTGACCCTTACCGTGCATTTAGTCTGAACAATCAGGAACAGACTTCAGAGAAATGGGACATTTTCACGCCCTCCCGGTATCTGTTTTCTAGCCCATCATTCTCCTGGAGAGGCAGGTTAACATTCAGGCAAACCTGTCTTTGTTTTTAAAACAGTGACACCAAATTAGCTCGTTGCAGCTTTTGTGCAATTCTCTGCCTTACTCCCCAACTTTCAGCCCTTTCCCCTAGTGACAACCACATGCCCAGAAATAACCAGAGGGAAACTCTGAAATGAGGGATATTGATTCCTGGGGATGATGGTGCAGGCAGTTTGCTCCAGATTTCTGGCTCTGTCAATAGTTTTTGGCAGGGGTGGCTCAGGATCAAAGGTTGCATGTGTCATAAAAGAGTGGAGGCTGGCAGGGTATAAGAAGCAGCTGAGTTCACCAAGCTGTCAGTGCAAACAACGGGATCCAAAGAGACACAACCAGGAGCCATAATGGACCTGCTGCACAGTGCTGGGGTGCAGGTGGTACAGTACCTGCAGGAGAACTACCAGGGCTCCCAGGACTGGTTCCTCTTCATCTCCTTCGCTGCCGACCTTAAAACCACCTTCTTCATCCTCTTCCCCATCTGGTTCCACCTCTGCGAGGCGGTGGGCGTCAAGCTGATCTGGGTGGCCGTGATTGGGGACTGGCTCAACTTGGTCTTTAAGTGGGGAGTGCGGATTCTGACAAGAGGTTGTGGGGTGCTGCAGTTTGGGGTTGTTTCCACGCCCTCCCAGAGTCTGATGTAGCCTCTCTGAGGGGAAGGCTGGGTTTGGGATTGAGGAACAGGGTTGGGAGTCAAGACACTTGGGCTCTGTTCCTGAGTCTGCCACTGTCTAGGTCTGTGACCTTGAGCAAGTCACTTTACCTCTCCATCCTCGGCTTCCCCCTCAGTAAACTGGCACACAGGTTTCGTGAAGCTCAATTAATGTGTGGAGAGCACTGTGAGTTCTTGTGGTAAGGAGCTGAGCTGATGCAAATTGCGGGTGCAATTGTATTTGGCTATCAGCTAGGAAGGACAATTTCCAAAACCCACAGCCTTGTGCTTCGCTCCAGCAGCTCCTGGGCCAAAGGCACGCTGAGCTCTGCAGCAGCCCCCCTCTCTGCACATGGGGGGAACACAATGGGGCCCCTACAGGGAACACATGGAGGCTCTTTGTCTACTCACAGCACATAGGACCAAGATGCTTCCCCAGTGTCTGTCCACAGCCTGGCTTCGTCTGCAACCATCCGTTCTGTTACTGTGGCCCAGGAGCAGCACCGAAAAGCAGAGGCTGGTGCTGAATTAATAAGTGAGTTGAAAAGGCAAGAAGAGTAAATCATGCTAGCTATGGTGAGCCAGCACTTTGCACCTATGGAGTCCTCCCGACAGGCTCCATGTAGGGCAGCCAGTGCTCCTCCACCCCCGGGAATCTGCGCTGGGGGGTATGTGACATGCCCCAGGCCGCGCACTGGCATGGCCATTTTCTCCTTTCACTGCAGGATGCTCTTTGGGCAGAGACCCTACTGGTGGGTCCGGGAGACCGGTTACTATGGCAACACCTCCACCCCTGTGATCCAGCAGTTCCCCCTCACCTGTGAGACCGGCCCAGGTGAGGTTCCCACTATTGCACCCCTCAGATTCACTGCAACTGCCTCCCTGGCTTCTCTCCCTTCTAACTGGCCGGGACTGGGTCTTCTCTGCAGGAAGCCCCACAGGCCACGCCATGGATTCTGCTGGAATCTACTACGTCATGGTGACTGCCCTGCTGCCCGGCCTCCTGGGCACCCAACACAGGTCCTGTGCAGCCAGGTGAGCAGTGCCTGGTGGCCCGAGGGCCTTCCCGTGGCTTGGGCCCGGCTCTGTGTTAGCTGGAACGGGACAGGTTTTTACTGCCCGTGATTTGATACCTATAACAGGGTGACTGTCCCCCTAAGGGGACTAGGGGTCAGTCAAACCCTGCTCCACAGTGTGTCCCTTTGGGTTCCTGGGACTGTGGGAACAGAGGAGGGCCAAGGGAAGGGCATAAGCAGGTGTCGGGGCGTGGGAGGGAGGGAGATGGTCTGTCCTGGATGAACAGTTAGTGCTTGGGGAAAACCCAGGCTAGTGTTTCTTTAAGGGCCCAGGACCAGAGCCTGGTAGTGCAGGTGGGATGGGTCCCTTCTCCCAGCCAGCTGGGAGCAGCCCTAGGAAGGAGGGTGCTGTCTCCTCCCTCATCACAGGGGGCACACCAGCAAGGTAAGGAGCCTGCCTGCTGCCCTCTCCCAGCCCAGGTGGTGAAAGGGCTGAGCGCAGAGGGAGAAGCAGCTTGAAGGCTGTAACTAGCCTGAGTCAGCGCGGTTCTGAACTGGGGGCTGAGGGAGGCCTGAGGGTGCCGGAGGGCTGGACTTGCAGGCCGAAAGAAGAGCTTAGCGCTTGCAAAGAGAGGTAAGAAATCGGGCTCCACAACAGGGGCTCCTGCGCTCGGTGCTGGGGTCTGGGAGTCAGTACAGAGAGCCCAGAGGGAGCCGAGCTGGCGGGGCCCTCCCAGGCCACACGGGGGGTGCTCTGCAATGGCCCCCACCCACACTCCATTTGGGTGAGTGAGCTGAGTCAGCCGATTCCACCTGCTGCTGCAGCCCTGGGGAGGGGATTGTTTCACCCTGCGGAGGAGGGTCCCACGGGTGACAAGGCACAATGGAGGATGACTAATGGCATTGTGGGTAAATGCCGCCCCTCCCCCCAGTCAGCATGTATTCCTGCTACCCCCACCCCCCAGATATTCTTCCCGTGTTAGGTCTGTGACCAGGAGATATGTGAGAAGTGGGATGTGTGAAGCCCCCAAGAGCTGGAGCAAAAGGAAATATCCTGGGGCTTTTCGCAGCTGGAACAGCAGCGCCCACTGCAGCTTCACGGCTAGTTACCGCACAGCGACTGGCATCAGCGTCAGTGAGATCGAGTGGCTCACAGCTGAGACGGGCCCAGCACAGGGGAGGTGCCTCTCGGCTGGCAGCAGATCTGCATGGGTCCAATCAGCCAGCCCAGGGGAAAGCCCCTTTCGCCTGAGCTGCTGCAGCATGCAGGAGGCACCAGGCATGGGAAAGGCCTTGGCTAGCTCGCTCGGTTGCCCTAACATCTGGGCTCAGGGGGGCTGGAACAATCTGTACAGTGGGGGTGCTGAGAGCCATTGAACCAAACTGTTTACCCTGGACACAATGGAAACCACTTCAAGCCAGGGGCTGCCGCGGCACCTCCAGCACCCCCAGTTCCAGCACCATGTCTGGGCCTCGTGGCAGACGCATTCAGCCCATAGACTCAGTCCCATTTGCTAGCTAACAAGACGGGCACTCGTGCTGGGATGGTTGCTCCTGCACACGCAGGCTCCCTTCATTCACAGGCCGCTTGTGGCTTTATTCAAGTGCTTTTGCACTGTGCGCCCATGACCTTCCTGGCTGGCTGTCTCTTCTTCGCAGGTGCCTCCGCGGCCTCCTGTGGCTAGTGTTCTGGGCCGTGCAGGTCTGCGTCTGCTTGTCCCAAGCCTTCCTAGCAGCTCACTTCCCCCATCAGGTGATGGCAGGTATCATCTCAGGTGAGTGTCAAGGCTGCCTCCCCCTCACATCACCCGCCAGCTCTCCAGGGCCCAGTGACCAGAGAGATGATATTGAGCCCTAGATAGCCTGTCCTCTCCTGCTTGGAGGAGACGTCCATCCTCAGCTCTGGGATCACCATGTACTCAAAATACGATGGCAAAGCGCAGGGACTGGTGAACGTCTTTCCCCAGGTACCCACGTCTGCAGTGTGGAGAAGCAAACACACAGCATAGTGGGCTTGGCCTCCCCGTGCACGGCTAATGCCATCAGTCAGTGCTGACATGATGTCACTGCTTTGCATGGTGCTTTAGAGAGCGAGTGAGTGAGCACACGCCAGGGTCACATGCTAACCAACGGGCAGCTGCAGGCCCATTGCACAGAAGGGAGGGTCCCAGTTCTCTGCACATCCCTGTTGTTAGTAGTGACTTTGGGTGACCTGGGGCTGTCACTGCATGTGCCTAGCACCTGGTACCAGGAGCCGGTTCCTGCTGCTTCCCCAAGGCCTCTCTGCACTGAGCCCACCCGGTACATTTTGCAGCTAGGCCTGTTTGCTGCTCAGTGAGACACCTGTGGCTGGCCCGGGCCAGCTGACTCCGGCTCATGGGGCTCGGGCTAAGGGGCTGTTTAGTTGCAGTGTAGACATTTGGGCTCTGTCTGCAATCTGAGCTCTGGGACTCTCAGACCACACAGGATCCTAGAGCGCGGGCTCCAGCCCCAGCCCGAACATCTGTACACCGCTAACTGCAGTGTAGACATACCTATGGAGACTTTTCCGCCCCTGGCAGAAGCATTTGACCACATCCCCGCCATCTACAGCGCCAGTCTCCGGAGGTACCTGGGCACCACCCTCTTCCTGTTCAGCTTCGCCCTGGGGTGCTACCTGCTGCTGAAGGCTCTCGGTGTTGACCTGCTGTGGACCCTGGAGAAAGCCAAGAGGTGGTGTGACCGGCCGGAGTGGGTCCACATTGACACCACCCCCTTCGCCGGCCTCCTCAGGAACCTGGGGATCCTGTTTGGGCTGGGGCTGGCCCTCAACTCCCAGATGTACCTGGAGAGCTGCAAAGGGAAAATGGGCCAGCAGCTGCCCTTCCGCCTGAGCTGCATCGTGGCCTCGCTCCTCCTCCTGCACCTCTTCGACTCCTTTGACCTCCCCACGGATAGAGAGCTACTGTTCTACGTCCTGTCCTTCTGCACGAGCACCGCTGCCCACCTGTGTGTGGTGGCACTCATCCCCTACTGCATTGCCCAGGTGCTCAGGAGGGGCCACAAGAAGATGCTGTAGCTGACCTGCAAACTTGCGTCGTAGCTGCCGAGCCAGGCTGCTCTTTGGGGCAGGGGAATGTGCTCTGCAGGGCTCCCCCTTCCCTTTCCCAGGGCCGTAACAGGCCTCCCAGCACCACGGACCTCACAGCTCCGGGTTACGTGATCAGCTCACACGCACAGCTCAGTGCCATGGAGTGGAAGGGAAAGTTCACTGTCTCCGGTGTGGGAAAGGAAGCGAGTGGCTGTCACACACCTCAGTGCTGGCACAGGGCCTCCGGGCCCTTTGCTTTCACCTCTGGCAAGACAGGGAGAAATATAATTGGGTCCTCGTTTGGCCACAGCCCCTGGCCCAGCCCAGGCTGGCACAAATGGTAACCTCTGCTCTAGAGAGCGAGTGGATAATGGGGCGGTCAGGAACGCTGCCCCAGCCGAGGGCATAGACACAGCTGAGGGGGCGGTGTCCCACCCGGAATTCGGCTCTCGGGCAGGTTGTCAGCCTCTTACATGACAACATACCAAATTCTCTCCAGAGGAGGGGGAGCAGTCGGCACCGTACCATGCTCATGGCTCAGTCCCCTCTGGGGACACACGGTGACAACGATGCTGTGTCAATCAACTCAACCCCAGCAGAGCGGGGATGGCGTGTCCATGGGCTCCCAGCACGGGAAAGCTGGGCTGAGGTCCCCCATGCAGCTTGTGCAAGGAGTGTCGTAGGCATGGGTGTGTGTGTGTGTTACCAGGGCTGTTATGGCTGGGCGGCCAAGGGACAGGAGCTAGCTGTGAAATGCCTTTGGGAATAAAATTAGTAAATTACACTCAGTCTTTCCCATCCTCAGGCCATCTTACTGACGGGGGAACCTCTGCTCATTGCCCCCGTGGGCCCTCCAGACATGCAGGGACCCAGAGCCCTCCAAGACAGAGTCATACAAACGGCTAGACCGATGGTCCATCTAGCCCCGCGTCCTGTCTCTGACAGGGGCTGGTTCCAGATGCTGCAGGGGAATGAACAGACCAGGGCAGTTATCCAGTCCCTGTCTGGTTGAGGGGGGGGAGCATTCTAGAACAGTGGTTCTCAGCCAGGGGTACACATACCCCTGGGGGTACGCACAGGTCTTCCGGGAGAACATCAACTCATCTAGAGATTTGCCTAGTTCTACGACAGGCGAGAGAACAAGCACTAGCAAAGTCAGTGCAAACTCAAATGTCATACAATGACTTATTTGTAGTGCTCTGTATACTATACACTGAAATGTAAGTACACTATTTATACTCCAGTGGATTTATTTTATAAGTATATGGTAAAAATGAGAAAGTCAGCCATTGTTCGGTAGTAGTGGGCTGGGACAATTTTGTATGTTGATGTCTGATTTTGTAAGCAAGTCGTTTTTAAGCGAGGTGAAAGTTTGGGGTCCACAAAACAAATCAGACTCCTGGAAGGGGTACAGGAGTCTGGAAAGGTTGAGAACCACTGCTCTAGAAGGCAGGAACTGAGGGGCAGCAGCAAGGCCATGGGTATGGGAGGCGCAGCCTCAGGCCCCTACTCTGCACTAGGGAGTTCTGTCGAGGTGAATGCTGAGGGCAGAAGCAGCTCAGTGCTGGACTGCTGACACTGGTGTAGCTGCTCCAAGATGGAGCCCTGCTGTCACAGAGTGTGCCCCGGCCCGGCCCAGCCTCCCCCGTTCCAGGCATCCTCCTAGTGACTGACACCAAGCGTGAACAAGGCCAAAGTTCAGCTTCTCTACTTGCAGAGCTCGTTTCTATTTCAGGCCGAGACCAAAGGGTGGTTTGTCTCCAGCTTCCTACTATGCACCTAATGAAGCGTACCTGGCATCCTACCCATCGTTCTGTGCAGGGGCAGGGCCTTGACCTGAGAGAGCGAGAAACCGCTCCATTCTGGCCATGCTCCCTGGCACAGGGGAAGATCTCTGCTCCCGTGGCTCCGGTCAGGAGTCAGTGCCGATGCCTGGAATTAGCTGTGTTCAGTGGCAGGGGAAGTTCCAGCAGCAAGATGTGTATGGGGTGGGGGGGTAGACTTAGGACGTTTGGGTTTGAAAGCTGAACGTCCATTCCAGGAGCTGCTCGCCTGCATGCAGTATGGCCAGATAGCCTGGGTATCTGACAACACTGACAGAGCCCATAGCTCTTGGTTCCCATTAGCTTTATGGTCACACAAGGCTTCAGGCTTCCATCACCACCCTCCCTCCCTCCGGTCCCATCACCACAGACCAAGCACGGACAAAAACCCACACTGGGGAGGACGGGGACACAAATCCGTGCAGGAAATCAGGACTGGCGCGGGATTCGGCCTGATGCGTGAACAGCCTCAGAGTGACTCCTGACCTGTTATCAATAACTTTCACCAATCAGACCACGGGTGTGTGAAGTGTGCACAGAACAGCGAGAACATGAGGGAGCATCGCTCATTTCCTGCCCACAAGTGAAGGATGCTGGAGAGCCGTGAGCCCGCACCACTCCCCCGGGGGCAGTTTGGTATCTCTCAGACATGATATTCCAGTCGGCAATTTTCCTAAGCGCATTGGAAACCCAGATCCCACCAAGTCTCACTGCTGGGCCCAGCCCTAATAATTCTTGCTACCTCGGCTGTGCAATGCAGTGAGAGTGTAATCCCGGCCTTCAGAAGCATAACAAACCCACCTGGCTGGTTTGCCAGCAGCGCTGACGCTGCACAACGGGCTGAGACTTGGTCTCTGCTGTGAAGTTACCTGCATTGCTGTGACCAGGAATTAGAAATGTAGGCAGCTGTCGGAGAGACAGAGTCACTGCAGGCCCGTAAATAAAGATGAAACTTATGGCCGGCAGGAGGGACACAGACTCCTTGTGTGTGGAGATGTCCCCATGACATAGCTGCCAGCCAATTGCTTAGATTAACACTCCAAATACTGGTATTCTCCACTCTGCCTGCCAGCTGAACAGATCCTTAGACTACGTGTACCTGAAGTGAGCGAAGGGTTACATGTCATCTGTGAATGCACGTGGTCACCGAGCAGCTAGTGACCACCCTGGCAGAGGCATGAGCGGCTGCAATCCCTGTTTGTCAGTACGGTGCAAGACGTTGCGTCATCTTTCCAAGGTAATGCCAGGCTGTCAGGGACTTTCGACAGCCATGGTTTGAGGAACACTTGCGTCAGGCTTGTAAATGGGTCAGCACTAGCTTGGCGGAGGTCACTGCTGAGTTCAGAGGTCAGTGACAGCATGTGCAGCCAGGCTGTGCATTAAACAGCACAGTCCAGCAGCACCAGCGTAAACAGGTTAAACCGTCCTGCAGCTGCAGTGGCTTCAGAGCATCAGCAAAGAATGGAGGCTGGCACGAGCGTCCTGCACAAGGCAGGGATCCAGGCGATCGCTTCCTACAGGAGAACTCCCAGGACTGGTTCCTCTTCATCGCCTTGACTGCCAGTATCAGCCTTCTTCATCCACTTCCCCATCTGGTTCCAGCTCTGCAAGGCAGGATGACTGAGAGACCAGCTTGAGCCAGTCTCACCTTTGATTCCTGCCATCACATTGCGTCCCCCTCACTCCCAGAGGTTTCCTGGTGCCCTGGTTAAAGTGAAAACTGCTTGGCCAATATGAATGATGATACAACATCCTACTTCTCTCTCTTGGGCTCCTGCAGGCATGTCCCTCATCTGAAGGGCAGCGCGCACAGGATCCTGAGTAGGGACTCCTTTGAGTTACCTTGGTGTTTTTCTCAGTAATGGTTAGCAATTGTCAGAGTCCACCCCTTACTGGGATTAACCTCCTTCTTCCCCACATTCTGCACCAAATACATTTAAAGGGGAGTTTGTACTGGTCACAATAACCCAGAATAAATCCGCTCACACTGCATTCACTGCCTGTTGCTCTTCAAGGGTGGAACTGGCCACCAACGGCAAATGAGGCAAAAGCCAATGATCATGGCATGCAGCACAGTGTTCCCTGGGTTTGCTGGAGGCTGGACCATGAGGGATGGCAAAGGACCTCTGCCTGGCAGTGCGGTCCCCAGCCCTGGCCAAGAATGTCAGCGCCAGTTAACGAAGCTACTTGTACCATTTATCTGGGGAAAGTTTGCAACATCATAGCCAGGCCAGTGAGAAACAGAGGGAGTCAGCCCCCCTGCCCAAATACACCTAACACTCCCTGCTCCTCTCCCCACCCAACCTCCCCACACACATACCCTGGCATACCCCGGAGCCACAGGCCTGGTCTGAGGCCAGAGCCCAGGCAGCTTGGTCGTCAGGGCTGTGCACGCACACACATCATTCTCATAACATAACTTTTATTGGTCTAGAGGGAGTCAGCAAGTGACCCTGTCGTCCCAGGTCAATGAACAGCAGATGGGGGAAATCCTCTGGCAAGGGCTGGTCCTTACTCCTCCAGGCTCTGGTGGCCAATGAAGTCCTGGAGCAGGGCCTGCACCTCTGCTCGCCTGCTCATCCTGGTCGCCTTGCCTTGGAAGCGGTCCCGTTTCCCAGCTCCTTTGCCTTCCAGCAGTTCCGCCACTCTAAAGAGACAGATGCACACGCTGAAAACAGGAGGGCTGGGTGCGCTCTTTCACACAGTCCCAAACTGGGTGTGCCTGGAGGCAGAGGAGGAAAATGGCCCGTCTGCTAATGCACTGGCCCTGCCTCAGATATTGAGCCAGATGCCAGTGAAAATCAATTCTCTGACTAAAGCAGCCAGAACTTAATTTCTCTTCATTAATAATAATTGTAGCGTAGCAGGTGTATATCAGGGCGGCCTGCTCCTTTAAGGACCAAAGGCATGGTGCCAGGCAGGCCAGCTGGCTAATCAGACCCAGCTGAGAAGGGGAGGACAGGTGTTGGCTATAAAGAGCTGCAGGAAGCAGGGGACTGACGGACTGCAGAAGAAGCGGCAGTAAGTCCCTGGGGAAGGAACACTCCAGGTGTGATGCTCTGGCTGGGTAGGAATCTCCAGCTAGAAGTTTTATTTTCCTTTTATGAGTTGGCTGGGTGTTTGGACAATAACTAGGGCTGGAGGCTGACTTGACAGCACTGATGGTTCCCCAGGCTGGTCAGGAGGGTTGCCAGACTACAGGTGGTCACAGAACAGTTTACCTGGGGCCTAATTTTTCAACCACTTCACTGGGCCCAGCCAGGAGGAAGAGCCCAGCTGCCTTCTCATCTCCCACAGTCAGGAAGAGCAGGGTATCCTGTGAAGAGAGATGGATCCTGCTGCAGAACATCTCTGCATCTCCCATCTTTGAGCAGTGAGACTTGGGAGTCCCATATGTGAGTAAGAACACCCTTTCTCTTTGCTGTGAACTAGCTACTGGAGGGGAGACTGTTTGGGGCACTAACTACCTTGGTGGGGGGTTGGAAATGGGCAACTGAGCCTTTTACTCCAGGTCACGAGCCCCATGTGGTCCTGGGTGGCAGTGACTAGTGTTTGGTGACCCCTGTGTTAAATGAGCTGGGGGGAGACAGGTGTCCGGAGCACAATGACCATTGCCATGTTTGGCTCTAACTGGCCCATTGATCAACAGGAGGGCACAGCTGGAGGAGCCAGGGAAATGAGCTCCCATCTCCCAGCGACAGGCGGGACCCCTCCAGATCACAGCTGGGGTGTATTGATGTGGGTGACAGTTTGGGCTGTAACATCCTGGGGATAATGAGGCCTTTGTTTTCAGGTCAGTGTGTTGTGAGGGCTGGTAAAGGGCGGGGAGAGGCTATGTAGGCCTTAGAGGCCAAAGTGCCAGCAGCGGCGAGGACAAGCCAGAGAGTGCTCACCTCTGTCCCGATCTCATTGGCAATGATATTCATGAACTCAGAGTCCCCGTCTTTCCTGTAAAGGGTAAAAAGCATTTTAGAGATGCCGCGGCCTAGAGAATCCAGACACACCTCTGGTGGTGGAGGCGTTCTGGCCTAAACTCTATGACAGAACCAGAAACCAACCACCCCACACAGCACACAGACCAGGCATTGCCCTGGCTTGGCTTGTGGTTTGATTTTTAGAGTTAAATTTCCCACCAGCTTCTTATCAAACCCTGTCAGGGAACTGGAAGCCAGACCTTGTGTGAGCGTACTTTGTGCCAAGGGTCAGGGCTGTGGCCTCTCATCACTGGGACAGCAATTAGCAATTTATATGGAAAAATTCTATGTTTCCCACCCACAAATGATGAATTATTGAAGTGTTTTACTCTGTAACCAAGGGAGCTCCTCAGTTTTTTTGACAATACCACCAGTGGGGAGGGATAAACAGACAAATTTACTGCTTGGCTCCAAAACCAGCAGAGTTCAACAGCCGAAATACAACCATGTTAGACTTTAATTATGAGCCCTTCCAGCAGGCCCAGGCAGCTGGTTTAATATTTTGTTTCCTTAGTTTATGTTCTCCCTTAAAGAATGGCCGGGTTTAATGGACCTCTAGTATAAACAGCCCTGAATGCACAGCAGAGGGATGCAGCTGCCATGGGACATTGTCGGCTTGTGTTATACAGGAATTCAGACGATATGATCACAATGCTCCCTTCTGGCTTTGGATGCTGCGAGTAAGACGCTGCAGCACCCGAGCCCCCTTCCCCAGATCTGTGCCTTACCTGTGCAACACAAACACTCGGCCTCGGCCTGGATTGCTTTTGAAGTTCTGCGCTGTCAAAACGGCGAGGTCTCTAAGCAAGTTCAAGTTGTTCTGCAAGGAAAGCAAACGCCATGCTGCAGACCCAAGAGTCGGCACGAGAACACGGGGATGGGATGGAGTGGAGTCGAGTCAGGGATGGAGTTTCCTGAGACAGGTGGAATGACAATTTTCACAGCCTCCACGGTCAACACAAGGGAGATTCTAAAACTTAATTCTCATTAAAGAAGATTATTCAGAATACTGTTGCTGTTACCAAAGCTCAGACCCTTGATGGAGTGACCGCAGGGGCAGGTGCTGGGCCACGACCGTACCTTCTGAAGCAGCTTCACAGAATTCTGCAGCCTCTTCACAGCTTCCACGTGCTCCTCTGCCCCATTTCTGGAAAAAACAAGGCAGAGTTCTGGCTATCAAGGCACTGGACAGAGTGGACTCCACCAATGAAGCTGCAGCAGACAACGCACCACCAGAGACAGGGGCTAGAAATGCCCTCTTTAGGGTCACATGGTGTTCCTCTCTCTGTGCGAGAAGGAAAAGCAAGGCTAGGGGAAACCGGGAAAGCACATTACTTGAGCAGCAAGGTTAATGCTTTCTCGATGCTGTGACTTCGCTCGACAGACTTCAGTACTCGATTTCCTGCCAGGAAGACCAAGTTGGTCTTGTTCTTTTTTCCTTTTTCTGTGCCAAGGAGCTTAATAACCTTAAACAAGAAACAAACACCCTGATCAGAGAGGTTCAGTGATGTGTTACACACAGCTAAAGGTCCCATTAGACCATGTGTCATTGTGAGTGTCGAGACTCTATCACCAGAATTAAACCCACTGAAATCAGCCTTCAGGTATAGCCACAAAATAGATGAGACACTTTCATTAGCCATGTGCCATGCTGTCTAACGCACCTGGACCTGGTGTGTCAACCAGCCATCTATACCCTAATGTCCCACCCCACAGCACACCAGGCATGCCAACTGGAAGGGAAGGGTCATTTGACTTATCACGCTGACTGTAAGGACATTGAAACCCAGAGGCAGCTCTGGAATTAAATTTTCATCTAATTCTGCATGAAGAACATGGGATTCTTCACTGGTGGCAAACCCACACTAGTGCAGTGGTGTAGGGGGAAGTGAGTGGACAATGGTAACCACACAGGGTGCAGGGCTGTGTCCTACCACTCTCACTCTGGCTTGTGATTGAGGTTCTCTGCCCAACAGGGACAATCTGCAGAAGGACTGTAAGTCCTTCGGATCCGGGGACTCCTACTGTACCAGCTGATCTACAGGCCGGTGCCTGAGCACTAAAGGTGCTGAAGCAGTGCAGCCCTTACCTGCAGGTCACTTAAGTTGGAGACGTGAGTCCCGCAGCACATGTTGTCATCGATGCCCTCGATGCTTATGATACGCACTGGCCCTGTGTGGTCATCTGGCAAACCGCGGCTTCTCACCTGGGAAGAGAACCAGAAAGGCGAGCATGGCAACTCATATCCCTGGGACTAAAAGGAGACTGGGTGGCATACTCCCCTCTGCCCCAGATGGCTCTGGAATGAATTTTGCCAGCATCCTCCATTGCTACTCACCATCTCAATCTCTGGGTCGTCCTCAGAATGCTCCCTCACCACCACAGGAATACGGGCCCGGATTTTCTCATTCACATTCTTCTCTAGGGCCTCCACCTGTTCTGCTGTCACCGAGGGCGTGTCCAGCTCGATGACAGTGCGCTGATGGCCTAGCTCCCTGCAAGGACCACAAACATCAGACACACCTGCCAATACAGAGGACACAAGCTCAAAAGTCCCTCTGTGCAACGCTGGGCATGGTACAGGAGAAGCACCTTTGAATTCTGTTACTGGAGCAAAGCACTTGCATTTTCTCTCTCTCACTCGATGTGTGTTTCTGAGCAAAGGGAACAGGAAGGCAGAGCAATGCTCCACATAGCTTCTCTCAGTGCGGTCACTTCTCCCAGGCCCTCTGCAGCCGAGTGGAATGTCTCTGCACGCCCTACTCTGTGCATTTATCAACATTCATCCCTCAGGATCCAGCACTGGGACACAAGCCAAACAAGTTTTAAGGACAGAGTTAAAAGGAACACTTTTCCTGCTCACCATGAAGTTGTTTTGAATCCAAACATCTGATCTGCAAGGGCAGTGATGAGATGCTGCCCTGGAAAAGAAGTGCAAGTAATGGCTGTGAGGCTTTTAGTTTATTTTTACTATTCTCACACACACAAAAAACTACTCCCCCAGCCTTCCCTAGGAACCAAAGAATGTGACTGCCTGTTGAGAGGAGTTCAAATCAGACAGCATATCTCTGCTCCAAGTCTTCTAAAATCATTTGTTTATGACCCAGGACAGCGCCTGCAGGGATAGCACCTACCTTCTCAAGAGGTCCAGAAATACCAGCAAACCAGCCCCTCTTAAGAGAGAACTAAGTGGTCACTAGCCACATCACCTGCAGAAGGAGTCATCGGTATCCAAAACCATTCTGGGATCATGGGTGACATGACAGTGCTTCAGGGGCAAGTCTTGTCCTTGCCCAGCAGGGCATGACAAACACACAGAAAGCACTGCAGAGTTTTGAACACCATGACAGGGTCTTATTTTAACAGGCTCTAATAATACTTCCCTTTTCGGTAGGCTGTTCAGTAACCCCCTGCCCCCAGTACCTGCCCGCACCTGAATGAGGCAAAGAGACCCTGGCAGCATCTATCACACCCCCAGGCCTCCCTGGCTTATAGAAATGCACTCAACACCCACGAAATGCATAGGGTTGCCAAATGTCCAGTTTTCGAGCGGAATGCCAAGCCAAGAAGGGACCCTGGCGGCTCTGATCAGCACCCCTGACCTGGCCATTAAAAGTCTGGTCAGTGGCGCAGCAGGACTAAGGCAGGCTCCCGGAGGCTCCAAGAAGCAACAGCATGTCCTCACTCCGGCTCCTATGTGTAGGGGTAGCCAGGGGGCTCCACACGCTGCCCCTGCCCCAAGCGCTGGCTTCACAGCTCCCATGGGCCGGGAACTGCGGTGGCGCCCGCAGCCGGGAAAGCACGCAGAGCCACCTGGCTGCGCCTTTGTGTAGGAGCCAGAGGGGGGACATGCCGCTGCTTCCAGGAGGCACCTGAGGCAAGCGCCACCCAGAGCCTGCACCCCAGACCTCCTCCCACACCCCTGCCCCAGCCCTGATCCCCCTCCCACCCTCCAAACCCCTCAATCCCAGCCTGGAGCCCCCTCCTGCACCCCAACCCCCTGAGCCAGCCAAGTGAGTGGGGGGGTGGAGCGAGCGGGGGGAGGGCCTAGGAGAAGGGGCGGAGCAAGGGTGTTTGGGATGAAGCTGGCACCCCAGGAAACGCAGCGCCCCAGTCCTAGGAGCGTTTCGGGCCAGGTGCCAACAGCCCCGCAGGGCCCAAGGCGGGTCACCTGAGTGCTGCTGCATGTGGTCAAACCTCCTCTCCCAGTCCACCGTCAGCAGCACCTCGCTGCCCGGCGCCAGCGGGCTCTGCACAAAGTGGAGGGCAGCCGGGCCCTGCCGCGTCACGCGGAGCACGGGGATGTCATCGATAAGCCCCCGGTCGCTGGGCTGCGGGGAGGAGCATTCGGTCAGCCGCCGGTCTGCGCCCCCGTACCTGGGCCCCGCCCCCACCCCACCCCCCGTACCTAGGACCCGCTCCCCCGTACCTGGCCTGCGCCCTCTGCCCCCCGTACCTAGCCCGTGCTCCCCCGTACCTGGCCTGCGCCCTCTGCCCCCCGTACCTCGCCCTGCCCCCCCGTACCTGGCCCCCCCCCCCCCTGGCGCACCCCGCCCCCCATACCTAGCCCGTGCTCCCCCGTACCTGGCCTGCGCCCTCTGCCCCCCGTACCTCACCCTGCCCCCCCGTACCTGGCCTGCACCCCTGCCCCCCATACCTAGCCCACGCCCCCCCCCCGGAGCTGGCCCCTGCCCCCCCGGAGCTGGCCCCCGTACCTCGCCCCTGCCCTCCCGTACCCGGCCCCGCCCCCTGCCCCCCCGTACCCGGCCTGCGCCCCCCCGTACCTGGTCCCCGGCCCCCACCCCCCACGCTCGCCCCCCCGCACCTGGCCCCCGCCCTCGGGGAAGAGAATCGTGTCCTCCAGCACCACGTGGAAGCCCCGCAGCGTCTCCTTCGCGCCGCCTTCGGCCGGCAGCTCCGCGGGGCGGCACGACGCGACCCTGGTGGCGAACTGCAAATGGGGGGCGTCACGCGGGGCCCGGCGCGCGCCTGTCACGCGTGGGAGCCTCGCGCAAGGGCCCCGCAGCAGCGCGCGGTCCCCCCCCCCGCACCCGCCCCGCCCCGCCCCGCGGCCCTCGCACCTGCCGGGCCCAGCTGTCCCTCTGGCACTGGAACACCATCGCGGCAGCCGGCGCCGGGACAGACAGCCGGCGGGAGGGGACGGCGCGCGGGAGGGGAGAGACCACCGCCGAACGCGAGCTGCGTGCGGAGACGGCGAGCGGGAGGGGACACAGGGCCGGGAACGCGGATGGGGACGGCGAGCGGGAGGGGACACAGGGCCGGCGAAGACGGATGGGGACGGCGAGCGGGAGGGGACACAGCGCCGGGAACGCGGATGGGGACGGCGAGCGGGAGGGGACACAGGCCCGGGAACGCGGATGGGGACGGCGAGCGGGAGGGGACACAGGCCCGGGAACGCGGATGGGGACGGCGAGCGGGAGGGGACACAGGCCCGGGAACGCGGATGGGGACGGCGAGCGGGAGGGGACACAGGCCCGGGAACGCGGATGGGGACGGCGAGCGGGAGGGGACAGAGGGCCGGGAACGCGGATGGGGACGGCGAGCGGGAGGGGAACGGGGGGGAAGAGGATGGGGACGGCGAGGGGAGGGGAGCGCGGGAACGGGAGGGGAGGGAGGGGAGGGGAACGGGGGGCGAAGACGGATGGGGACGGCGAGCGGGAGGGGACACAGGCCCGGGAACGCGGATGGGGACGGCGAGCGGGAGGGGAAGAGGGGGGAAGGGATGGGGACGGCGAGCGGGAGGGGACAGGGCCGGAAACGCGGATGGGGACGGCGAGCGGGAGGGGACACACGGCGCGAGGGGATGACGCCATGTGCCTGTCTCCCCCACAGGGCCCACCTGCTTTCCCCTGGCGCTCACCCCCACGTGTCCCGCGTCCCCCATGTCTCACCCTGTGGCCCACGTGTCCCCCGGGACCCACGGCCCGTCCTATGGGTCTGGGTTTGGGGGGGGTCTGCGAGCGCCCCCCCCACCTGGGCGGGCTGAACCTGCCCCTCGCTGGGGCAGCAGCCTGGCCTGGGGGCTGCCCTGGGGGCGGGGGTGTCTCAGCTTCTCCCCGGGACCCTGCCAGCGCCAGCCCCGTAGCCGCCCCCAGAGGCGAGGGCCGCCCGGTGCCCTCTGTGCCCTGGGCAGGGTGGCCTCTCGGGCACTTGGAGACGGGCCCCAGCGTGGCCGGCAAACCCAGACACAGGAACAGCAGCCGGCCTGGCAGGATTATCCTTTATTAACCGGCCTTCTCTCCACTTTGCTTCCCCCCGGCAAACGCCCGGGAGAGACGGGCGAGCGGAGAAAGGTCCCGGGACAAGAGGAACAAGGGGCAGGCCCCAGCTAAATCTGAGCCCCAACAGCCCAGAGCCAGAGAGGGAGGGAGGGAAGTGACTCAGGCTGGTTCTTGGCAGTGTAAGTGGCAGTAATGGGGTGAAATGAGACACAGGAACCTGACTGCCACTGAACGGCGTCCGGCTGTGGAACAGTCTCCTAATGGAAGTGGTGGCAGCTCCAGGGCTTAGCGTGTTTGAAACGAGACTGCCCAATGCAATAGGAAACAGTCCCACGCTGGGTCCGACTTCAAGGGCGGGCAAAATGGGCCCGGCAGGGCTTTTCCAGTTCTAGGGTCCATGATTGTGCAATTTGGAGCCAAAGTCTGAAGCAGGCGAGTCCCTGGCGCGTTTGAACCACCGTGGCACTTACACTGCGACCTCCCTCCCCCACTCGCTTCATCGCAGCAGCTGCTGTCATGTCTCTGTGGGGAAAAACAAGGCAGTCAGCAAATGCGCCGTGCAGCCCTGAAGTGCAAAATGGGCCCCTGGGTGGGGACAGAGCAGGGAGTCAGGCCTCAAGGGGAGAGAAGGGACAGGATGAGAGCAGGGGGACAGTCAGGCCCACAGGGGAGACAAAGTAGTACAGGGAATAGTGGGAAGGCAGGCAGCTCTGTCACTCTCAGGTGATCCAGTGAATGCCAGCGCACCCAGCTCTCCCAAACCAGGAAGACAATTTGAAGGGCAGAGAATACGGGCTGCTTCCAGTGCTCTCTTCCCTGCCAGCCTCCCCCTAAGTCCATTCAGATCCCAGAGGGCATTTGCCAGTGCAGCGAGGGGTGATACATGCACTAATCCGGGTCACTGTCAGCAGGTCTGCACGCACATCTCCCATCAAGTACCAGGCCCAGCTGCAGCCAGATAGTGCTTCAGGGCAGTTCTTACCACCAGGGTCTGTGCTTTCAAATGTCATCCTGGAAAAGAGATGGAAAGTTGGACAGTGAGTCTAGAAAGGACACGGAGTGTTTCCCTTAATGCTACGTGTGACCATAGAATGGAGTGAAACAAGGACAGTCCATGGTACCAGACACCCTGGGACCCAGGCAAGTTAGAAATGCTCAAGACTTCCAGTTTTTCCAGGACCCTGAAATATATGTTGGGCCTAGAGTGTGGAAGGAAACCCTGAAAAACCAGCCTCGGCCACATGCTGCTGGGCATAAGCTAATGGCCACAGGGTCTGGAAGGAACCCTGCCTTGACGAGCTGCACTTTGTATCTGGTCAGGAACATAATGAGGGTTTTCAGCATCAGGGATTGGCTACTGGCACAGGCTGGATACCACACTAGACAGGCCAGTCCTCTGTTCTAGTTGTACAGGTTTGATACTGAATTAGATGCACCATTTGTTCCTCTGCACCCCAGGGTAGCAGGAGGTGGGATTCCTTGCTGGTTCCTTTCCTGCTCCTCCTGTGTTCCTAAACGTATTTTTCAGTGAACGGGGCAATGACAGTTATGCTGGGAGGTGTTCCCACAGTTACACAGAGCAGGTCTCCACACCCAGAACACAGGGCCGCTTAGCATAGTGGAAGTTCAGAGAACTGTTGGCCTAGAAGAGGTTTGGCTTTAGTCCATGCTGAGACGAGGCTCCACATTGGCTGGCAGAGATGGAGCAGCTGGGAGCCAGGCTTGGGCACTGGGATGAAATGGAGGGCCAGAGGCAAAGAGCCCGGATTTGTAAAACCACCCAGAACTTGCTGTCTCAGCAAGGCAGTGACCAACTGTACTTACATCGAGGTCGTCCATTGCAGGGGGTGTGCCTTTAACAGTGACCTTCTGCAGGAGCTGGACAGGAAACAGACAGTCATGAGAATAAAGAAAGGAACCCACAACAAAGGTGGCAGGGCTGGAGTCACTTCTGCTCCCAGGCAGTGCCTTCCACCCCCAGGAATCCCAGCTGCCCCTTGTGACACAGACCCACAGCGGGGAGAGGGAGAAGCTGTGCATGTGTTGTGCATGGTTGGCTCAGCTGGTTCGTCCAAACCTTGCTCAGCGTGGGTGCTAGGCTGGAAGGGACTTTGGCTGCAGGTTGTACCCCAAGGTTTCCACTGGATTTTAGCCCAGGGGCAGTGGCCATCTTGGACCCTCCTCACTCCTGTTGAAAGCAGCTCCCATAATGGTGCTCTATGTAAGACAGACCCCCTGCTATCGTGGGGTAGGATGGTTGATCAGCTGGATGGGGCACTGGATTGGGTTGCAAAAGACCGAGTTCAATCCCTGGCTCAGTCAGACTCCCTGTGTGACCTTGGACAAGTCCCTTATCTCAGGGCCTGTTCCCCCTCTGTACCATGGGGTTGATGCTTCCCTGTCTCTCAGGGGGGCTGTGAGGCTAAATGCAGTGACTGGGAGGTGCTCAGATACTCATGGGGGCCAGATAAGTACCTAGCTAGACAGAAATAGCAGGGCTTCTACTCCATAGTTCTCCCACTATCGCTCTTACTCCTCCCTGGCTGTGAATTAAGATCCATGTCCTGCTATTATTGTCCATACCTCACCTCTCCAGTTCGGGCAAAGCCATGGTGCATTTCTGCTGCTAGCCAGTTGGTGGAGATACTGAGCCACACACCAACAGCCACAGCTGAAATTTCTCTTACCCAGTGTTACCTGGGCTGCAGGTTGAGAACCACAGCGCGCCCCCACAGACCCCTATGCCCAACGCCTCCCGCCCAGAGACCCCTCCACAAAGTGGGGCCAGCCAGCAGCCCCAGACCCCTGCCATGCTGGGCAGCCTGGACCCCACTGGGTGGGCAAGCGGCCTTTAGGACACAGCTGGGCCACAGCATTGTGCTAATTAGGCCGTGGATTGAGAACTGCTGCTCTAACCATTCAGTCTGGAGTCAACAGTGAATTTTTAAGGCAAGCTGGGACATTACCCAGGCAGTGCCTGGTGGAGATGTTGGTTTTAGGGACAGTCATTTAATCACATTAATTGAGTCTCACAATAGGTTTTACAAAGTGCAGGAGCACTTGCCTGTATTGTATAATTGACACTTTACTGATACTAATGCTCAGACTTTCCTCCTGACCCAAGAACTTGGCATTGAGTAACATGAAACAAGGATAACTGAGGAAGGCCCCCTACAACACCTGCGCCCAGAAGGTCTCGCCCCCAGCGGGTACTGCATACTCCGCATGGGGCCTCAGGTCACTGCTTGGGATCTTGTGATGCCGCTATCCCACTGCTCAGACCCAAATATAAATGCAGTAACCTAAGACTTACCTCTGCATACTGCTCAGCCATGGCCCTTTCCACCTCCTCATCCCCTTCCCAGTCTCGCCAGTTATCAAAGTCCACAAACAGCCAGACTGGCTATGAGCAAGCAGGAGAAACAGCATCACAACAGGGCAGCGCAGCACCGAATGCAGCAAGTCTGATGCCTTTGGGGGGCGGGGGGACTGGCTGGGGATGGGATATGGACAAAGAGGGGGGAGAGGGGGAGTTATGAGGCCTTCCACCTTTAGAGTCTGGTTCCACCCCAGCCTGAGTTTGAGGATTTAAGGCACTTATGGAGATTTGGCCCAGACCAGTTGTGCCCAGCAGTCACTACCGGCTGATGGCTGTTCAGCAGCCCCTTGTCAGCAGTCCAGCATGGGGCTCTGTTGTCATGAACTGAATAGTGGTGTAATTCATAGATATTAAGGTCAGAAGGGACCATTATGATCATCTAGTCCGACCTCCTGCACAACGCAGGCCACAGAATCTCACCCACCCACTCCTGCGAAAAACCTCTCACCTATGTCTGAGCTATTGAAGTCCTCAAATCGGGGTTTAAAGACTTCAAGGAGGAGAGAATCCTCCAGCAAGTGACCCGTGCCCCATGCTACAGAGGAAGGCGAAAAACCTCCAGGGCCTCTTCCAATCTGCCCTGGAGGAAAATTCCTTCCCGACCCCAAATAGGGCCATCAGCTAAAACCTGAGCATATGGGCAAGATTCACCAGCCAGACACCCAGGAAAGAATTCTCTGTAGTAACTCAGATCCCACCCCATCTAACATCCCATCACAGGCCATTGGGCCTATTTACCATGAATATTTAAAGATCAATTAATTGCCAAAATCATATTATCCCATCATACCATCTCCTCCATAAACTTAATCGAGTTTAATCTAAAAGCCAGATAGGTCTTTTGCCCCCACTGCTTCCCTTGGAAGGCTATTCCAGAACTTCACTCCTCTGATGGTTAGAAAACTTCGTCTAATTTCAAGTCTAAACTTCCCAATGAC